AGTGGAGGTACAGCCGCAAGGTCCAGCCGTGAAGGGCCTGTGGCCTGGGGGCCGTGGGGACTTATTCCAGGTCAGATGAGGATGTGCTCTAGCCTCTGTGGGAGAAGGGTGGGGGGGCCGGGGCTGGGGAGGGTTGCAGGGCTGTGGTCCAGGTTGACTGCCCCCTTCTTGTCTCTATGGGTTAGAGGTCCTAGAGGGGGAGGACAGCCCCTGTCCCCCAGGCTGCCTGTCACCTGAGGCTGATCGTCCCTGCGACTTGGAAAACAGTTCAGAAAGACCATGCGGCTGGTCAGAGCAGGAGCACAGCTCTGGTGGCCGCCACACCCCCTCCCGGCCACGCCCACACCCTCGCCCTGCCCCCCTGGTAGACCTTCAGGGATGAGGCCAGCTGCCTCTGGTCTGGAGGGACCACCAGGCCAGGCCAGGTCGCTGAGGCACTGCCGAACCTTAGCCTCCTTGGGGCCTCCTTGGGGCCAGCATGGCCTCACTAGCTCCTGCCTGTGATCCTGCCCGTGACCCTTGCTGGGTCCCCATGTCCACTTTAGGGTCACTGAGAAGAGGCAAGGAAGGAGGCGCACCCCTGAGCCCCTGTGTCCCCCGCCCCCGCGGCCTGCACCAGGCTGGCACCGTCTGGCCCTCTTGGTTGCCCCCACTGGGGGTGGGTCCTGGGGGGCAGGGCCTAGCAGGAGGGCGGGGCTGGGCAGAGGGGCGGGGAGCACGAAGGCACCGGGCATTGGGCGGCAAGTGCCGTGGGTGGCAGAGCAGGGGCCACGGGAGGTGACAACCAGGGAGGGGTGGGACTGGAATTTGCAGTCCCAAGTCACCCTGGCTGAGGCCCCCCCCCCCAGTGACAGCATTCACCGGTACGCTGCCCCTGTGGGTGCCCGCTGTCCCCTCTAAGGGGTCCAGGTATGTCTGGGGTTGGGCGCCGGACCCATCCCCCCTGCCTGCCACGTGAGTGCCGTGTGATGGCGCCTGAACTGCAGGACCTCACAGCTGGACGCAGGCGGGACCCAGGGAGCCCATCCTCTGTGGCCACAACCAGTGGCCAGGCGGGTGGCTGAGGGCAGGGCAGACAGCGAGCGGGCGCGGGCGGCCGCGGGGCGGCGGGAGTCCCCTGAGCACCTTCTGTGCACCAGGCACTGTTTCAAGCCCCGAAGCACACACGACGGTAAAATCCCACCTCTGTGCATTTTCTGCCGGGTTTCCGCCTACTCCTGGGCTCCTCCCTGGGGTGTGCTCCCCGGGCCCAGCCCCTCCTCCTCCTCTCTGTGTGGGCTGCTCTGGGGGGGGGGGGGGCCCTGAGGGGGGGGCGGGCACTGGGCCAGGCTATAAGGAGGAGCAGAGAGACACCAGCAGTCTACAAGGTCCCTTGGGCCCAGGAGTCCTGTTTGCTCACTGTCTTGGCCTCGAGGTCCCCACCACTAAGTGGCGTGGGCCTCAAATAAGGCAAAGAAGATTGTGACCGGTGACCACACGGCCTGGCTGCATAGCCCAGCAGCTTGTGCTGAAGAGTTCACACCGGGGCAGAGGGCAGGCAGGGCAGGGTCCTGCTAGGTCCCTCACCCTGAGAGCACAATTTGGCTGGTAGACTCAGGGTGGGCAGAGACCGACCCCTCACTCCTGAAACATGCACTGTCCCCGGCAGTGGGGAGGTCCCCGGGAGTGGGCGTGGTCCCCTGGAGTGGGCGTGGTCCCCAGGGGAAGGCAGGTCCCCAGGAGTGGGCGTGGTCCTGTCCCCGGGAGTGGGTGAGGTACCCTAGAGTGGGTGAGGTCCCCAGGAGTGGGCGTGGCCCCCGGGAGTGGGTGAGGTCCCCTGGAATGGGCGTGGTCCTCTGAGTGGGCGTGGCCTCCCGGGGTGGGCGTGGTCCCCAGGAGAGGGCCTGTCCCCAGGAGTGGGCCGGGCCGGGGTGTCCCCGGGCCGAGGGCAGGCCAGGGTGTCTGTGGGGGGTGAAGAAAGAGACAGGAAGCTGCCTCGGAGCACCAATGGCCCCAGTGTCAGGAGTCCAACAGCCTAGGACACGGGGCATGAGAGTGTGCTTCTGGAAGCTGCTGCCAAGCATGGATAAGGAGGTGGTGTCTCCCTGCTTGAGTCCCTCCACAGATGTTCCCCTTGTCCTCTATTGTCTGGCCTGGGAGAGCCCCCTGCCTCTGCCCATGCTGCACCCCCACCTAGACTGCCCATCCCTCCTTGCCGCTGGCTCGTGGCCCCTTCCAGAGAGCCCTCAATGATGCCGCCCCTGCACATCACACGTGCCAGGTCCTAAGGCTCTTGAATGTTCTGGAATTGGCTGGTGACATATTTGTCACCCCCTTCAGATCATGGCCCCTCAAGCGCCCCGGTGCCCAGGAATGGCACAAGGCGGACACAAATGCCCCGAGGAGGATGGGGTGAACCGGCACGGGGGTGAGGGGACCAGAGAACCAGGTCAAGGGGGCAGCAGACACCCCAAGAGAGGCCCCGTGCTGACTGCCCCCAGTTTCATGGGGTGACTCTGGATGGTAGAGTGAGGGCACCTCCCAGGGTGGCATCGTGAGCCCCCACCCACCAGCACTTCTGCACCAGGAAGTCTCAGTGCCCATCGGACGAGGCTGGAGCATAGGCCTTGGCACCTCTGTTTGGAATGGGGCACACTCGACCTGCCCACTCTGGTCCCACCACGTCCCTTCTGCCCACATTGCCGTGGTCACCTGGACGCCGTGGCTGCTGATGGATGCTTCCATTTACCGTCTGGGCCTGGGGACCAAGGGCAGCTGATTCAGGGAGTGGGGCCAGGTCAAGTCCCTCATTGTGGCTTGGCATGCAAATGCCAGAAATTTCTGGGCTGTCTGAGGAGGTGAACAGCTCTATGGGAAGAAGTGGGGTGATGACTGGCTGTGTGGATTTGCTACTAAAAGACCCGCACCCACCACCCCAAGGCTCCAGAGCCTTTTCTCCATCTCTCAGATTTTCTGGGCCATGATCTCTTGGTGGCCCAGGAGACTTTCAAGGGCGGTGGGCCAGCCATGGACATGACTTAGGATTTTGAAGGGCTGCCCCTGCTCCCAGTGGGTGCCCAGATGAGAGGACACAGGGCACCCGGCTCCTCTGGGCCTTAGGCCCCCCACCTGTAAAGGGGTGAGAATACTTTCATTCACTGGATGCAGCAAGATAGGGTGTGCCAGGGCCCAGCACATCCTGGTCCCCACAGGGAGCAGAGGAGAAGTCTAAGTGGAGGACATTCAAGAAGGTTCTGCACAGTCTGAGAAGAAGCCCAGCATCTCAGCTGGGCTGATCTGTAGCCTGACAGCAATTTGCCCTTTCTCTCTGGGCCTCTGCTCCCATCTCTGAGGTAGGAACACCTACAAGGGGATTGTGAATGCAGGAGGTGATCGACAGGGAACACACTGTGGACTCTTGTTCTAAGTATGGGAAAGGCATGGGCCCAGTTGTTCCCAAGAGTAAAGGAGACCTAATGCAGTTAAGCTCTAGGAGTGAACAAAATCACAGCAGGCTGCTCAGTGAAGGATGGACTGACAGACGGAGGGATGGATGGACGGATGGGTAGGTGGGTGAGTGAACGAGTTAATGCATAGGTGGTTGGCTGGGTAAGAGGCTAGATAAGTGAATAGAAGGGTGAGTAGATGATTAGGTGGATGGATGGGGGGGCTCATGGATGAGTGAATGAACGACTGGAGTGAATGAATGAGAGAATGATTGTTTGCTGAGCCCAGGTGAGTGCCAGCTCTGTGGTGGACATGCTCCCACATGTTATTTCACTTGGCCTCCCAGCTGCCCTGGAGGAAGACAGGTCTCAGGGCTCAGGTCCAGGGTCACATATGTGGCAGGGGTAAGACTGAGACCCAGGTCTCTGTGACTGCAAAGGCAGCGCGCTCTTGGCTGCACAAAGAGATTTATCAGGTCAAGGCCTCAAAACACCCAGGCACAAACCCGAGAAAGCAGGGCAAGACCGAGGTCCTGTCTGTGGGCGCCATGTCGCTGGACAGCCTGGTCCTCACTCCTGGCTGACGCCTCTTCCAGAAGGCTGCCTCTGACCCTCTTAGGCCCGTGGCAAACGCGGTGAGAGCCACGGCCTCCCTCCTTGACTGTCTCCCCCTGGCCGGGAGCCCTGTGCCACAGGGGCCTGCCGGCACGCACAGCAGAGTCCCCAGGCTCTGTGCTCCCCGGGCTCCGAACATGTGATGAAAGGGACAGAGGAGGGATGTGGGGGTGGGCAGAGGCAGGCAGGCCCGGACGGCTTCCCAGAGCTCGGCCCGGGCTCACCCCGCCCGACTGGGCCGGGAGGGAGGACACGGCTCCCGGAGCCCTGCCTCCCAGGGCCTCTTTCTGCGCTACCAGGGGTGGGGCAGGAGGGGTGTCTGACCTCCCAGCCCCTCCCGGTCTTTCCGGGGCCTAGACTGCCCACAGGAGGTGCTCAGTAAATGTTTGCTGACAGAAGGACTGAGCAAAAGACTCCCAGTGCTTCCCCACCGCCCCAGCCCTCCGCCCTCTGGCCGGTCCCTCCTGCGAGCTCAGCCACGTGCCCCCGTCTCTCCCAGGCTTGCCTCCCTGGGAAAACAGTGGCACCGAGATCCCGACTCGGTTTCTACTCTGCTCCCCACCCCTCCTGACTCAGGGAACTCCCCCCCCCCCCCAGTGCTGCCCAGCGGCGCCCAGAGTAGGGACAGAAAACGTGAATACTAATGAGAGAGAAGCCCGTAACAATTTATTACCTGGCAGACGGCAGGCTGGAGAAGACAATTTGATGGTCTTTTTTTTTTTTTTTTTAATTTTTTTTTTTCAACGTTTATTTTTGGGACAGAGAGAGACAGAGCATGAACAGGGGAGGGGCAGAGAGAGAGAGGGAGACACAGAATCGGAAACAGGCTCCAGGCTCTCAGCCATCAGCCCAGAGCCCGACGCGGGGCTCGAACTCACGGACCGCGAGATCGTGACCTGGCTGAAGTCGGACGCTTAACCGACTGCGCCACCCAGGCGCCCCCAATTTGATGGTCTTTGATGGAGGTCAAGAAACAGGAAGGCTGTTTTATTCACTTAATTGTTTCAGTGGCAGTAAAACGGGCGCGGGCGCGTGAATCTCCCGTCCTTCCGGAGGTGGCGGGTGGGGGGCCGGCAATTCTCTTTGCAGGGCAGCATCCTCCACGCAGTCAAAAGCCTGTGGGCGGGCCAGGGCGGAGGGTCCTGCACAGGGCACGGCTGGCCCAGCCCGGGAGGCCACAGGGTCGGCACCTCCGAGGGCGCAGGGCGGGTGGGGTGGGGGTGGGGGTGGGGGAACGAACCGAACCCCCAGCACGTTCCCCGCAGCCCCGGGCTCCTCCCTCTGATACCTCCCCTCACCTGGAGCCCTGGCCCCACTCTGTTGTCTTGATATCTGTTTAATTAAATAATGAGGCACAGTGAGAGCCCATGACCTCATTTTTGGAGCCACAAATAAGAGATTTATGGGTGCCCTCGTTAGAGCTGCTGGCAACAGGCATCTTCCTGAGCTAAGAGGAAGCCTCACACTCTGGGCTCACAGAAAAAAAGCCGTTTATTAAAATTATTGCCCCATAGAAGGGGCAAAGTGGCGTATTCGAGTGGGAAGCAGGAGCGTGCTGTGGTGGGCTTGCCGGAGGAGTGGGAGGCGGCCCCAGGGACCCACCAGCCCCTCCACCAGCCTCCTGCCGGGGAGACCAGAGCTCCCCCAAAGACTGCGTGTCTCGCCATGTCTGTCACCCCCCTCCCCGTGTCCGGCCAGGACCCCCACCCTTGCCCCCTGCAGCAGCGGGGCCCAAAGCAGAAAGCAGGACAGGGATGTGGCTGGCAGGGAAGGGGGAGGGGGAAGGGAAAGTGCCAGCCCACCACGACCAGGTGAGGGGGGCACTGACCCGGGGCCGACCAGTGGGCCGCCCCCACACGCTCGTCTCCAGACTGGACTCCCCTCCCCCCGGCGGCCGAGTCCCTGCTGTGCAGATCAGGTCCCTCGAAATAGGTCTCGAAGTGTATCCGCCTCCCTCCCCAGCCACCTCAGTGTCACCACACACAGCACCTCCTCCACTGGCTTGGGGGCCACAGGGGCCCCCTCACTGGTGGGGGCTCACACTGACTTTGGGGGTCACGTGCTCAAAAGTCCCCTGCAGCCTCCCCGACGGGGTCTATGAGCCACCGTACCCTTCCGGACCAGCGGCAAACAGTGCTGGCCTCGGGCCCCCAGAGCAGCTGATGCGCCCACGGCAACACCACGCACCGGGCCCGCCCAGCCCAGCGAGCCCACGGTTCACGTTTCAAGGTGGACCTCGTGACAATGGTTCTCAACACACGGGCCAGGCCGAGGCTTGCCTCCGTAGCGTGAGATGGCCTGTGTTCTTGACCAGGGGTGGGGGCATCACGTGAAGAGAGGGCCTCCGCGGGGTGTCCCCAGGAAATGTACTGTCCAAACTCAGACCCTGGAGAGTGAAGGGGTGTTACTGACGATTATACCCAGACAACAGGTGCCTACCAGCTCCACCCCTGGCAAACCAGGACATGGGGTCCCCTAAGGGCCCAGAAGCCTCTGAGGTGGAGGAGAGAGCCCCTCGCTGCCCGGGGCCGGCCGGAGAGGTGCTAACCCAGGAAAGCAGCAGGCGGGCTGTAGCCAGACAGGGCCACGGCCTGGCCCACCTGGTAGCTGTCCAGACGAGGGGACTGGCCCCAGCTGGGTAACCTCCTGACAGTCCACCCCCTTTACTTCTCCCCTTAGCCCCCAGCCCATCACCTGTCTGCACTGGAGGGGGAGGGGGTCTGGCAGGCCCCAGACCTCTTCTCATTTCCAACAGAACCTAAGGACCAGAGAAGGCCATGTCCGTCTTGGGTGGCCGAGCCCAGACCACTGGCCCTACTGTGGGGCTTCTCCCGAGCAGGCAGCCTGGTGACCTCCGTGCTCTGATGTCCAGTTCTGGGGGGGCCACGTCCACACAGGGGCCCTACATCAGTAGGTGGTCCCACAGTCACATTCCCGAGGGCCTTGCCTTCCTGCCCAGGCTCCCTCTTGTCCATCCGAGGGTCCCTCAGTCAACTCAACTCAGGTCCCTAGGGTATCCAAAATCTCCCCCGAGATCCTGCCTCTCCCAGAGATCCTGCCGCGGATCCGAGGTTCTCAGTCATCAGGAGTCACGGCCTGAAACAGTGAAGGGGTGTCACCTGCCCTGGACAAGGAGAGCTGCAGCACCGGGGGACGGGGGACGGGGGACGGGGGCTCCCTGGCCGGCTGCCCTGATGGGGAGGGGCGAGGAAGGAGCCCAGACAGATGACAGAGCGGTACTGGCAAGGGCAGGGTGGGAGGCAGCCCATGACCCCACCCGCTGGGCCCCAAGGGTCCTGTCCTGCTGGGTGGCCACCCCGCCTGGGGGCCACTCCTGCCCTGCCACTTCACCCCACAGGGCACCGCTCCCAACTTCAGCGGGAGAACTCCACACCCTCCCGGGCCCCAGTTCTACGCCTGCCACTTCCACGAAGCCCTCTCTGTTCTCCAGGCTGCTTTCCCACAGGCCTCTCCTGCACCCCAATCCCCGCTCCGAGGCTGAGCACCCCCTGCCTCGGGCGACACCGCGAGCTCTCTGAGCCCTCATCCCGATCACCTCTGTCCCAGCGGCCAGGCAGCCCCCAGGACCCGAAGAGCCTCGATAAAGACCTGAGAAATGACTACGTGACCCACATCCTCAGCTACAGGCGCTGGGAGAGCCACCGTTGCTCACTTTGGGCACGTGAGACTGTCCTAGGCCCCGCTGGCTCCCAAGTCCATATTGGCTCTGTGATGCTGCCCGTCTTCTCTGCCGGGCGGTTAGCCGGGTCCCTAAACCTGGTCTGGCTCTTAGCTGTGCCCACTCGGCGTCTGCTCCTCGGAGCCGGCTCCCTCTCCCTCCTGCCACCCCGTGGGTCTCTGGGACTGGAGGGTGGGGTGCACGCACAGCCTTGGGGACTGGGTGGCCAGAGCCACACCTCCTGTCCTGTGGCTCCTAGCCAAGAACCTTCTTGGTTAGGAGAACTGCTGCCACCCCCCCCCCCACCCCTTGCCTCCCTGAATATTCCTGTGCCAGGCCCACATGGCGTCCAGTAAGGAGAAGCTTGTCCCGGCCTCCCGGAAGTCCCCGGTCCAGATGGATAGGCACAGGTGTAGATATCCAGGACCCCAGTCCTCGAGCAGGGAGCACACCCAGCGTCAGGCTGGAGAGCAGGAACTGGCCGGGGGAGGAGGCAATCGGCCCCTCCGGGGTCCTGCAGCACCGCGGGGAGCCACCCCACCCCGCGCCCCCTGCCCTGAAGAGCCCTTCCCGGCGCTCCGTGGGAGACCTCTCATCGTGCTCCGCGTGCCTGACCCCCTGGAAACTGCTGGGGTGGGACAGAGGGGCACAGGTGGTGGGGGGCGCTGTCTGCGGAGGTGAGGACTTGGGCCCCCGCTGGGACAGGTGGCGGTAAGCGCACGCTGCCCCGTGTGGGTGCGTGCAGAACAGCAGCCTGTCTCACTCCATCACGAGACGCGCTTGGTCGCCAAAACGTAGAGCACATTCTCTAAGGCAAGTTTACTGACAAAGGTCAATTTTAAATAAATCAGCATGCCTGGAGGCTCCGTGCGGCCTGAAATGGCAGTGGCGGCACGGCGTCCTTCCTGGCTCCCACAGGGACAAGCGGCCAGGAGCACAGCAGCGCTGGCCCTTGAGGCCACAAGCACGGCCGCGGCTGGCGCACTCCGGGGCCCCCCTCTGCGGGATGACGGGTTCCAGGGGCCGCAGCAAGACCTCTGCCGTGGCGCGGACCAGCTCAGGGCCTCGACCCCTGCTCTGCACAACGGGGACCACGCTGTCACCTCAGCCAGGGCCAGGGAGGCCGGAAGGTCCCGCTGCTGAGGGTCCCGGGCCTTCCGGTCCCTCCAGCCCTCATCTGCTGCTTTTATGTTTTCTTCTAACGTAGCACTTTAATTCCTGTGATGCATCTGTTGCTACTTTTGAGTTACCTCCCGGGCAGCCGCTCTCAGGCCGGCCAGAACAGACTTCGGATGTGCCCTCGCTCCCTTCCTGCTGGAGACGGCAGCCCCACACCCCTTCCCGGTGTGACCATGAGACACAGCACACTGTAAACGCGATGAACTCAACGACACGGGGCCAAGACGCCCACCTTGTGCGATGGCATGCCTTTTAGAGAAGCCGCCAGAGGAAAGAGTAGCGGGGGGGGGGGGGGGCGCCCCAACCGCAGAGATGCCCGAGGGTCAACTGGACACGGTCTCCTAGGTCTCCCATCAGGACAGAACTGTCTTCCCCAAGCTTCTTTTTGTTCTGAGTGGATTTGAACTACTGTCGGGGTCACATGCTTTGAGCCTGAGGAACTTCAGTGTTTCTCGGAAGGTGGGTCCACTGGTACCAAACCCTCTCGGGTTTTGTGTATCCGCAAACGTCGTTCTCTCTCTTTATTCGGAAAGACAGTTTTGGTGGACGCAGGAGTCTTGGCTGTGGGTTCTCTTCGAGCACTCGGACGATGCCGTCCCTGCGCCTGGGGTCAGCTGCCAGCCTCGTGGGGCGCTCTCGTGGCCAGGGAGGGCTTTCCCGGACTCTGGATCGTAGCATCGGTCCCACTGGAGCTCACCGAGCCGGCTGGACTTGTCGGTGGTCGTTTCCTGATAAATCTGGGGATTTTCAGCCACTGTTTCTTTGCGTATTGTTTCCCTTCTGTCTCCTGCCCTCCCCGTCCTGTGGCTCCGACGGTGCACACGGGTGTCCCTGTTTCTCCGAGACTGTTTGCTCCTTTCCCGTCACTGTCTTTGCGTTGTGTGATCTGTGGGTCTCTAGGTCAAGGTCATGGATCTTCTGCCAGCTCATGGCTACCGTTGAGCCCCTCTAGTGAACCTTCCATCGTGGTTGCTGTATTTTACAACTCGAGAATTCCCCCTTGGTTCTTTTACTTTTTCCTTAATTCTGATCTTTTCATTGGTTCCGTTAGTTGCGTCGCTGTGATGGCACCTTCCCTCACTACTTTCCCTTCCCTGTTTGCAGCTGTTTTCTTTCCTCTGACTGTATCTACGGCGGCCACTTTCAAGTCTCCTCTGCTCAGTCTAACTCACACACTGCCAGCTCTGTGGCCTTTGTTTCCTGGGGTCTGGGCCACGTGCGCCGTTTCCTTGCACGTCCAGGTAGGAGACTAGTCGTCTTAGGTAACGTGCTGTAGCAGTTCCGGGCACGGGCCACCCAGGCCGGATCGTGTTACCAGTCCCATCTCGGGGGCGGTGGGGCGGCCTCCCCCAACAGCTTCTGCTCCAGCCTCCCACTGCTGGCCAGGGGCGCAGCCCTGGGCTCGCCCACAGTCACCCTGGGAGGACAGAGGCTCTGGCTGTCTTCCCTGCCCCCCAACTCCTCTCCCTGCCGGCCGAGTGCTCTGCTGCCTTCATCACTGACGCCCTGGGCGTAAACAGCTTCCCTGACTACTCCAACCAAATTTGGCTCCTTTGAAAGAACAGCTCCTGAGATCGGTGTCTGAGATTCTCCCTGACCAGCCTACAGTTCAGCCTGTGTCCCCAGTCGATCCACCGCTCCTCCCACGTGCTGTTCCCTGCGAGCTCCACTTTCCACGAGCACCCTGGAACCTCACCCTCTGCGCAAACGCAGTCAGTCCTTTTGTGGAAGGCCTGGGCCCTGGGGGTGGGTCGGTGGGGACCACAATTCCAGTCCTCTGGGCCTGCTGCAGTGCGGGGTCCCCGCCCCACGAGTGGAGGCCCAACACTGCCCGCCCCCTTCCTCCACACCCCGGGCCCTCCTGACACACGGGCCCTCCATGGCCTTGGGGAGCAGGGCCGAGGCCCAGAGTGGGCGGGGGGGGGTAGGGGTGGGGGTGAGGAGACCTGGCCCCGGCTTTCCCGGGCTGCTCCCCAGCGCGGGCCCTCGCGTCCTCCACAACTGCAGGCCCAGATGTCCCTGGGACCCGGCCCAAGGGACGGGAGCAGAAGGGATGTGTGCCCGCTGAGGGAATTCTCGGAGGAGGTGCTACGCTTCCTGCTCCCGGTGGCTGGAAGAAGACACCAGGATGGGGACTGGAAGGCCAGTCTTGACGTGAAGTGGGAGCCACATGTGACAAATGGCAGAGGAGCCTGGCTGCACGCACACGGCCGCCTCACTGCCCTGGATCCCCCTCCTGGACTTGCTGGGCCGAAGCAGGCAGGACCTCTGTTCTCTTTACCGCCCTCATGGACCCCCTAACACCCCCACCGAGCCACCTTCCGCCCCTCACCTGTGTTCCCGCCTCCCCAACTTCCGGCCCTTCCCGGGAAACCTGTGCTCTCTGAAGGCAGGACAGGGGCCTTGTCTGATCACCCGCCGGCCCCAGGCTGAGCACGACGCCCAGCGCAGGGCGGGCACTTAACACACATCACGCCTGCGAACGAACCGTCAGCATGCTCCCACGCCAGGAGAGCCCGCCACGGCTGGCACCCGGGGCACCTCCTCCCCAGAGATGCTCAGGCGGGCCCTCGGAGGCAGCATGGGTGGGTCCCGTTCGCCCCAAATTCTGCTTCCCCTGCGGCACGGGCTGCCAGGAAAGAACCCAGTCTGCCTCTCTGCGTACCCCCGCCTCCAACCCCTATCCCTCCAGAACCACGCCTGACTGCCGTGGCCCCGGGCTGCCTTCTGGCCCAGGTGGGACTAAGAGGAAGAGGTGCAGGCTGGGCCAGGACAAGATGGCCAGGGCTCGCAGGGACAAGGAGCCCCAGGCTTCCTGCCTCAGCAGCAACTGGGGGGGGAAGGAAGGGGGGACCGGTTCTACCCTGTTCCAATTTCACATCCAGTCTCATAGGGTTCCACCCAGCAACGTTTGGGAAAAAAGATTCTGAGGCTAAAACGTTCTGACCACCGAGCCCGAAGCTGGGCAAGGAGTGATGGGCAAGCAGCTGGGAGGGCCCTCGGAGGACACGTGGGCGTGGAGGCCTGTGCGAGCCCTTGCACGTGGCCATGTACCTCGGTCTGCGGTCCAGCGAAGCTTGCTCGCCAGAGGCCTGCCTGTCCTGTTCCGCCCAGAACCTCCGAGCAGCGCGGCACCGTGGCTGGTTCTGGAAGGAGCGCCTGGAGGACAGACAGCCCCCCCCCCCCCAAAGGCCATCTGGTGACGAGCATTTATCGTTAGGTTCCAAAACGGCCAGGACGGGGCAGGTGGTGAGGCCGCTGAGAGAATCCATGGCCTGGGGTCTAGGGTCTGACGGGGACAAGGCATCCACAGGGGACCTAGGAGGCGGCCAGGAACCCTATCTGCTCTCCCCTCCCTCACGACACCGCCCAGCACAGTCGAGAGCCACGCCGGGCTGTGCGGGGAGAGCTCCTCAGGACGTCCGTCCGCCTCTCCGCTGCCCGTCGCCACCGCCGAGGGCAGCGCTCCGGTGACTCCCGACACCCAACTTCCCTCCAGGCCGCAAGCAGCTGCGATTCGACAGCAGCGGCCCCAACACACACGAAGGAGAGGACGCGACAGCGACACAGCCCTGCCTGAGCCATCCGCCCCTAGGACTCGGCGACGAGACTCTTAAAAAGGCCCGTACTTAGTTCACCATCTTCACACGTGCACAGAAAGCACGCACGGCCCACGTGCTGCCCCACAGCAGCAGCGGCCGCCTCCCGCGTTCAGAAAGACGTGAAAGCACCGGGGGGACCGGCCGCACGCCAAGCACCGTTCCCGCGGCTCCCGGAGGGACACACGGCAAACGGACGAAGGAAAACGTCACGCCAGCTCGGCCACCAGGCCGTGAATCCAGGGGCACGGAGGTGAGAGGACACGTGGGGAGGGGAGCACGGCCGGCAAGGGGCCGCAGCGGTGCCGGTGAGGCCGGGAGCATCCGGGAGACACGGGAGGGACCGCGTCTTCCCACGGCCAGGTGGTGCCGCCGGCTCCTGCCCGCACGCAGCACAGAGGTGGGAAGGGCCGACCGCAGGAGTTCAAGCATCGCTAGAAATCTAAGCAGCTCGTTCCAGCGCCGGGTCGCGTGTGCGCAAACCTCAGCCTCATTTCCGAGCGCCTCCTCAAGATTCGTCAGCGTGAAGGCGGGAAGCGCAGAATCCCCGGGAGCGAATGGTGAACTTGGAGCCCGGACACCAGGCCTGCCGGCAGTGCGCCACGGGCCCCTGGGGGCAGCGGGCAGCCCGGGGGGACGGTCCTGCCTGCGCTGTGGGAAGTGAGTCCGTCACGCCAGCGCAGCGTGCGGCCCCCACGCCCTGGGGTCCCAGGAGGAACGTGCGGGAGGCCGGGGCGGCTGAGTGAGCCCGCGACTGAAGTAGGGACACGCGAGCAGGGTGACGACGTGTGCCTTCGAAGCCGCAGGCGAGGGCTCTGCCGACTCACGGTCAGAAGCGGAGTCCCAGCCGTCGCGCCCACCTGATGCAGGGATGGCGGCCACACGGCAGACCCGGGCCCGAGGGGACGGAGGGGCAGGCCGTGGGTGACGCTGACCCGGTCCAGTGGCCGCAGGTACTGCCATTGCTTGGCCCGAGGACCGGCTTTTCTCCTCCCGGACGGACAGACGTCTCCACCCGCACACACAGCAGGGCTCAGCCAGCGCGCACGAGGCCAGAGTCCGCCCGGCACGGTCCTGGGCTCCGGTCACAGGATGTTCCGCTAGGCTTTCGGTCTGGCGGACCCTTCCAGAAAGGGCTCCTCACGTTCACGCGCCAGAAAACACGACAGGCCCGCGACGAACCAGAACACGCGGGATGGGCCGCCCCAAGTCGCCGAGACCCCACACCGGGCGCCCAGCCTCCCGGGCGAGCTCTGCCCGGCTCTGCAGCGCCCCCAGCCATCAGTCCTCGGCCGCCGCGGACGAGCAGGGCAGAGGGGAGAGCTCCTGGGGGGCCTCGAGCTTGACCGCGGCCCTGAGGGCCACGCGCCGCCCCTTCGCCTGCCGCTGCCTCGCGAACACCGAGCGCAGCGCGCGCAGCTGCCCCACCTCCTGCGCCGTGAAGCAGGGCTGTCCCTCGGCGAAGCGGACGACAGAGTCAAAGGCCGAGGCCGCCTGCTCCCAGGCCGCCTCGTCGCCATCCTTCTCCACCTGCTCTGGGCCCCCCGCGGACGGGGCCAGGCCCTCCCCGGCCTCGCATCCCAGCCCGTCTCCCTCGGCGGCCGCGCCCCGGTGAAGCCGGCTGCCGGGGCGCGCCGGGGCCTCTCTCCCGAGCTCCGGGATGTGCGCGAAAGTTTGGTCGTGAGGCCTCGTTTGGAGACGCTCCGGCTCCTCCTCAGAAGACGAGCCTTCGGCGAACGTGACCGCGGGCCACAGCTTCCTCCAGGCCCGGCTGAAGACGTGGCGGGGGACCGCGCTCCAGGCGCAGGCCACGCTGACGATGGCATCGTTCATGCTGTAACGGGGGTGACGGCCCTGCAGCGTGGCGGGGGGGTTGATGAAATTCCTCAGGAAATCTCTCCGAATGCCCTGGTCCATGGGCTGGATGGAGGAGGTGGCGCCCGCGGGCAGGAAGACGGTGAGGACGTTGTCGGAAACCAGCTGGGACTCCCGCGGGCGCGCCCGGGCGCCATCCAGCAGGAGGATGGCCTTGCCGTCCTCGGGCAGGCCCACCGCTCGGAAGTGCTCCCTCACCGAGGGAACAAAGATGTGATGGAACCAGTCGGAAAAGATCTCCTTGTCCACCCAGGCGTTGCCCTGGGCCTTGTACGCCACCGGCAGGTGCTGGATGCCCCGGAAGGCCCTGGGGCCGCCGCGCTTCCCGATCACCAGGGGTTTGATCTTGTGCGAGCCCGTGGCGTTGGCGCACATGAGGACGGTCAGCCTGTCCTTGTTCTGCTTGACGCCGGGCGCCGTCCCGCCTTCCGGGCTGGCAGTCGGCAGGCACCGCCAGAGAAGGCCGGTCTCGTCAGCGTTGTATACCTGCTCCGGGGACAGGCCGTGCTCGGCGGTCAGGCTCCGGAAAAAGCCACAGAACTGCTCTGCCGCCCGGTGGTCGGCCGCTTGCTTTTCGCCGGACGCGTCCAGCTTCTTAATGCCGTGCCTGGCCTTGAAACGCCACAGCCACCCGCCAGAGAACACGCAGGGCTCCGTCAGGCGCATCTGCTCGTAGAAGTCCTTGGCCTTCTCGATGAGCATGGGGCCCGACACGGGCACGCCCTCGGCGCGCTTCCCCAGGAACCACTCGTACAGGACGCGGTCCAGGTGCTCCAGCTTGGGCGTGTGCAGGGTGCGCCGCTGCTCCAGGGCCTTGTTGGAATCCGAGTTGGCAAAGAACCGAAGCAGCTGCGCCTTGTGGGCCTTGATGTCGTACAGGGTGGACATGCCCACGTTGTACTCCTGCATCAGGACCTTCCTGCTCTCCCCCTTCTCCAGGCGCGTGCAGATGTCGATCTTCTCCTTCAGGGTCAGCACCACCCTCTTGCGCTTCTCCCCCGGGCTCCTGCCGGCAGCCTGCTTGGAGGCCATGCGGAGGCTGGCTTGTCCCCAGTGGGTGGGGAGACACTCGCCGCGGGGCCTGGCGGACTTCTTGCCTCTCCCGCCCCTTTCCTCTGCTCCCGCCCCTGCCTGCCCTGTCCCTCTCTGACCCCGGGGCCACCGTGAGCCTCCGCTGCTCCTCTATTCCTCCCTGCGGCGTCAGCGGCGCCTCGGCTTCCGGGCTCCTAGCGACGCTGGCGGCTCCCGGTGCTCTCCGCAGGAGACGACCAGTGTCACGACGCCCCTACTCATCCACACTGTTGGAACCTCTGGCCTTCTCTCAGGGGGACAACGGCAGCCCCTCCCTTCCAACATGGACCACAGAGTAGAGGGGTCCTGGGAGCCGGTTTCTGGTTAATCGAGGCTGTACCGCCTGTGCTGGGGACACCCCTCTGGGCTCACGGCATGGTCCCACATGCCTCGCTTTAGGAACTGGAAAGCAGAACAAGGGGAGAAAGAACGTTACTGACCACGCGCCTGGGCCACCCGCACACATGCCCCCATTAGTTTAGACCCGCTGGGAAGCTGCAGCGGAAACCAAAGTGTGGTAGGGGAGACCAGCACATGAGCTGGCCCAGGTGGCGTGGCACCGGGAAGGCCGCCCCGCCGGGTGCGCTGGCTCTTCCCGGCCCCACCAAGTGACAAGTGACCTCTTGGCCATCACAGCTCCTTCAGGCCAGACAGCTCCACTCTTTCCTAACATCTGCCCAAACACCCCAGCCCTCCCTGCCTCGCGGAGCAGACTTGCGGGGCGGAGCAGAGGCATCCCTGCTGGACCCTTCGAGATTACCCACCACACTTCACCTGCGAAGACACGGACATTCGTCAGCCTGCGAGGAGTAGAGAGCTGGTGCCCTGATACCGACCGGCCCGCAAGCCGTGCAGTGTCTGCCGGGAGGGTCCCCTCACTTCCTTCATGACTTGGTCACGTGGCCCTCACTCCCCTCCCCAGCTATAGCCTGCTCGCTGTCCCGCGACGAAAGACAGGCAGTACTCACCATGGGCTTCTAGCAACTCCCCACCCCACCTCTCACCCAAGCCCTTATTTGGGCCGTGTCTTCCCACAGATATGCAGACCGTGAGGCCAAAGACTAGCCTATGCGAAACATAAAAACATAGCCCTTTGAGCTCAAACTCTAGGCACATCACCAGCCAGCTCTGGGTGTGTCCCTTCCCCCTTCTGGGTCAGTCTCCTGGTCTGCAAAGTGAGGGTGCTGCTCCTTTACGGATCCTACCTATATCCTACTTACTGGGAATGACAGTGTGAGAGCGGATTGCTTGGACCTAGACCGGGGGAAATAAAAGGCCACCACCCACCCCATATGGGTGTTCCATATGACAGCACCCCAGGAAGGAGGGGCCTGGAACCTGACAGGAACTAACTCTAAGCACAGCAGGGAGAAGTGGGGGGGGGGGGGAGGAGGAGGAGCTGGGACTGTGGAAAAGGCCTCCTGGAGGAGGCTCAGCGCCTGAAATGGGGCCATTAAGGACGTTTCCTGTTGTGCACATGCAGGTGTGTGCAGAGTAACATAAGGTAGCTGAGGACACTGTGGACCAGCCTGCGAGGCAAAACTCCCTTTACAACTGAAAGGCAGATACTCCGATATTCTGAAACAACTTCTCAAACCAAAGGGTAACCTAATACGGAGAGAGAATGGGGTGGGGTGGGGGTGTAGCCTTGTGAATTCAAAGTAAGCACACGAACGTGCACGTAAACATCTTCTCCTCCTGTGCCCAAAGGATAGAGAAGAAGCTGGGGAGAGGGCATAAGGGGCCAGAGACGGGACCGCGGGGCGGGGTGGGGGGAGGACCTGTCCTTAGAAAAGAGCCGCAGAGATTCAGGAGAAAAAGCGAGCAACCGCCTTCCCCTGGGAGCAGCCGTAGCGTGCAGGGGCAGGAAGGGCCGGGACCGCAGAAACGCGGGGCGCGTCGCGGGGTTGGGGGGGGGGGGTCTGCGCGGCGCAGCGGCCACACCCGGGGCGCCCGCGGGAACCCGGAGCCGAGGGGCAGTCGGGTTTGAGGACACGCCGGCTTTGAGAGCGTCTCTCTCTCCCGGGACCACGTTTGGGGTGGAAGCTCAGTCCCGGGCACGGAAACAACCCAAAGAGGGAAAACCGAAAAAAAGTGCAAGTCTGCGCCGGGGGGCGGGGCGCCCGTGGCCGATGCTTTCCTCGAGCGGGGTCCCCGGGGGTCTGCGAGGGGCGGCCCCGCGGCGGGGCTGGGACGGGAGGAGCCTCCGCCCGGGGAGCACGGACTGCGTGGCGCCCCCACCCACCTCCCGGCCCCCCGGCCCCCCGGTCCCGCTCACCTGCAAACCCCGGCCGCCGCCACCGCCGGAAGTGCCGCCTCTCCCCGCGCCGCCGGTCCGCGCCTGGCCGCCTTCCCCCAGCCACTTCCGGGACGCTCTAGGCAGCCTGGAGGACTGACTGGGCCTCTCGCTGGCCTTGCGGGCCGGTGAGGAGCCGGTGGGTGGGGCGCGGGGCGGCCTCTCCCTGTGCACCCGTGGGGCGGGCGCAGGGGCGTCGGAGGCGCGAGTTTCGCGCGAGTGGAGCCCTGCGCGGAAGGACGTGGGGCCCTTGCAGTCCCGGCCAGGGTTGGCAGGAGGACGGTGACGCAGCCCCCCTCCCTCGGTGAAATCCAGGGGCCAGCGGGGTTTCCTTCCCGCTCGGCCTCTTGCTGAGCTGGCGCCTCATCCGCACCTAATTTGCAGGGGTTGCGTGTTGATGTTTGAGACTTTAGAGCTGATGAGACTCACACTTGACCTGATGCAGTCAGAGGAGTTGAGACTTTGAGGGGCCCTTGGGATGGGGTGAATGTGCTCTGCGTGCGGGACAAATGTGAGCCTTTGGGGACCAGAGGGCAGCCGTGGCGGCTGAATAAAGCACCGCCCCTGCCACCACCACCCCCACCGCCGCCCCTTGCCCCACACCCTCATCCCCCACCCCATGAGCACGTGACCTCAGGGGCTTTGCTTCTGTGATTAAGATTCTTGAGATGGGGAGATTATCCTGATTATCACAGGGACAGGGGTGGGGGACTGGGGGGAGGGTGTGCAGTGTAATCACAGGGTCCCTATAAGAGGGAGGAAGGAGGGACAGAGTCGGGAAGACAACGTGATTCAGGAAGAAGAGGGAGAAAAGGCAATGTGACAACAGACACAGGTCGGAGTGTGTGCTTTGTAGACCCAGGAAGGGCTGCCAGCTACGGATGCATATTCTTTCCTGGATCCTCAGGGAGGATCCAGCTGCCGACACCTTGTGTCCTATTTTTAGCCTCCGAGTGTAAGGTTATTTGTCACAGCAGCGGCAGGGAGCCTAGACGGATGTCCATAGCTGTCTCCGGCTTCATTCACTTTCTCCCCTGGGTTTCCAGGATGCTGTAGCCCCAGGCCCTCCTTCCTCGCCCCCCCCCCCCAATGATCCCTGACCTGCGGGGTTCACTCCTGGGCTCTCCCCTTCTACCCACACCCACTCCCTCCGTGATCTCCACTCCCGTGGCAATACCAGCAGGGGCTGGCCGCTCCCACATCCCTGTCTCCTTGCCGGGACCCCTCTTGAGAACTCTAGACGCCTGTGCCCTTCCCGGCATCCCCACGTGGACCTCTGTGAGGACCTCATGCCCAGCATTTCTAGACCTGAGCTCCTGACGCCGCACAGCCTTTTCCACCCACATAGTCCCCATCTCAGTGAGTGGCAGGGTCCTTTTTCCATTCACTCGGGCCAAAAATTCAGTCACGCTGGACCCGCCTGTCCCTTACGCCCCACACCCAGATTGACCAGGGGCTCTGCCTGGCTCTGCCCTCCTCATCCGTGCCACGTCGGGCCTCCTCATTCCCACCAACTGCTCTCTCCCTGGCCCAAGCCCCCCTGGCCCCCTCACATCTGTCTTCGCCCCCATATCAGCCATCCACTGCTGCACGATGAAGCATCCCCAAAACTCGGGCTTGAAACAGTAGCCAGTTTGCTGCACACGGTCCTGTGGGTGAGGAATTTGGGCGTGCTAGAGGCAGACGTGTTTGACAGAGGAGACAACCGGAGCACTGAGCAGAACTCGAACGTGAGGGGGACCGAGCAGGGTGTCCTGGGGCAGCCAGGTGGCCCCCCCAGGAAGGCCGGCTCCATCCCTGTGTTGTGACACTGTGCTGCCACCTCATGGACACGGGCTCACATGCAGCACACCTCCCCCCACCCTCCGCCCCGGGCATGGGGCTGGCAGGGGCCTGGGTTTGGTCCCCAAGATGTATGGGGTTCCCCCAGATGCTCCCACCAACGCTCTGGGGCCCTTGGGGCTCATCTCGGGGACGGAGCCAACTCTGGCCGAGGGGAAAGGGTCATAAAGAGAGGAGGGGAAAGGACTGGTGTCTCCTGGGAGCTGGCGCTGAGGGCCCCACTCCCCCGAGCACCCCCAGTGCACAGGATCGGGCCCCCAGACCACCCCCGATCGCCACCGCAGCCCCCCCCATCGCCGTTCGCAGCCAGAGTGGCCTTGAGAGGGTCAGTCTGAGCAGGTCACCCCCTGCCCCACCCCTGGCTTCCCAGTGGGCTCCACACAAGGGTCCCCACCAGGCCCTGCTCTCACTGCTTCCTCTGAGCCCGTAGCGTTTCACCTGCATACATTGTACTCAGCCTGGAGGCGGCAAAGTCTCCCCGGGACTCTGGAGTCCTCGGGTGAGGAAACCAGTCAGTCCCCAGAGGGAGGGTCTTGGGGTGACAAGTCTCTTAATAGCAACAGAGGGGGGCTTTGGCTCCAGGCTGAGGGTGTTTGTGAATTCCACACCCTCTGGAAGGGGGGCGGTGCTGCCTGAGGTGGGCCGGGTCTCCTGGGCTCACTGACTGCACTCCTGGAGGGAGAAGGGGAGAACCAGCAAGGGGCTGAGGCTGGGACAGCAGGAGGGGGCAGGTTGGGGCAGAGCCACTGAGGGTGCCTAGGACACCTTTGTGAGAACCAGGAAGAGGCACCTCCCCTGGGGTGCAAGACCCTTGAGACAATTAGAGACCGAACTGGCACCCGGGGTGGCGGGATGCCCTGGGAGCCTGGCCCTGGTGGGCTGGGGGTGAGAAGCGGGCTCCCAGAGCCCCTGATGGGACTCGGTGCCCCCAGTACACAAGCACACACACACACACACACACACACACACACACACACACACACGGAGCTTGCGAGACATGGCCTTAATTTCCAGAACCCACAACGGGAGGCCTGGCACGGAGCATGCGTCCCCCGACCGTCAGTGGCCTGGCAGCAAGTAGAATTATCCTCTCGAGTTACGGACTCATTTTTCTAAAGGAAAAGGTCTATAAAAGTAGAAGGTGAAATCAACTGTGGTTTTGTAATTCACATAACATCTTAATTTTTCTAATTAATTCAGCATAAAATGTAAGATTCATCCAAAAAAAAAAAAAAAAAGGGGCAACCATTTAAATGTGGGACAGGGTGGCAGCCATAGGGGGGCACGGGGTGTCTCCAAAAAGGGGGGGGGGGGGGGGGGGGTCAGTGATCCTGCCTCCTCCCAGGGCCTGGCCCTGCTCCGGTCCCACCAGCCCCCCATCCTGGCGGGGGGTGGGGGGCAATGCGGCGGGCAGGATCTCCAGGGAACCCAACTGGTTGGGCAGGCAGGTGGAAAGCCAAAAGAGAACAGGAAAATCTGGAGCCCAGGGAGGTGACACCAGAGCAGGGCTAAGGGTGAGTCATGTCAAAGCCACACCCTGACCCCGTCCACTGCAGGGAGTCCCATCCCTTTGTGACAGGTTTTCCAGGCTGAGTCTAGGCTGAGGGGCTGTATTCAGTGTGTGCCCAAAGCGTGGATGACAGGACGGGGCACAGTCAGTGACCAGGGTCAGGGCTCAGGGTACGGTCAGGGTCAGGGCTTACTCGGTGAGCAGGGTCAGGATTCAGGCTGTGACCCTGGTGAGGACTTAGTTTGGGGCTGACAGGGTCAAAGGTGGAGTCGAGGACTCTATCTAGGGCATCGTGCCATGGGCTTCAATATTCAGTCAGCGGCCCGAACACAGCACCACAGACCAGGAGCTGTAAACAACACACGTTTGTTTCTCGGGGCTCTGGAGGCTGGGAGTCTGAGAGCAGGGCGTCAGCCGGTCGGGTGAGGGGGAGGCCCCCTTCCTGGCGTGCAGACGGCCGACTCCCCGCTGTGGGCTCAGGGGGTGGGGGGAGCTCTGGTGTCTGATCTTATGAGGGCACTTGGCCCATCGGGGGGGGGGGGGAACCCCACCCTCATGACCTCGTCTGAATCCAATCACCTCCCGAGGGCTCCGCCTCCAAGTACCATCCCATTGGGGTTATGGCTTCAGTGTGGGGATTTGGGGGGGACAATTCAGACCGTAGCATTTGACTACGGCACCCCAAACCCCACGTCCTTCTCACAGGCAAGGTGCACTCACTCGTTCCTCCCTGACAGCCCCGAAGCCTTAACTCATGCCAGCATCGGCCCCAACATCAGGTCTGGGGGAGACGATGATTCCTTCCGGCTGCACACTTGGGAAATCAGACAAGTCCTGCGCTTCCAGAATGCAGCGACAAGACAGACACGGATAGACCTTCCCACCAAGAAGGAGCAGTCGGAAGGAAGGAAGCGGGGGTGGGTCCCAGGCAAGTCCCAAGCCCAGCAGAGCTCATTGGCTCCTTAGACTCAAGGCGATCCCATTTGGTCTAATTCTCTGCCGCCCGTACGCTGGGACTGCAGCCTCGTGCCCACGGCCCTGGGCAGGCCTCCTGCCCCCGCTGTTCTGCCGACCTCAGGCTGGAAGCGTCTCTGTGGTGGGGGCGTCCTGTGCAGGATGACCCCCCTGTCGGGACAACCGACCATGTCTTCAGGCATTAGGCCAAACGTGCCCCGGGGCACAGAAGCACCCTGCTTGAGACCACGGCCAGAGAGTAATCGCCTCGTATCGAATCAGATTAACAAACATTCATGCACCTGTCAATATTTGAGGACTGAATGTCCCAGGCTGGTGCTAGGTGCCGGGTGCCTTGAGTAAAAAGAGACAGATAAGAAAGGCTCCAGTCCGGGGCGCCCCCAGTCCCGGTCAGCTGGGGGTGGGCAGACAGGCAGACGGCCAGGCGCAGTGAAGTCACAAACACTTTACCTTCCAAGGCACCCGAGCTGGTGGGATCGCGGGCTGGAGGCGGGGGGTGGGGGGGGGGTGTTCCGGGAGAAAGTTCGGAGCGGGCAGAAAGAGGAGGAAGGCAGCTGGAGTGGGGGGACCGCACTCACCTCCGTGTGAGCTTGAGCAAGGTCCTGTCCGTTCCTGGGCCTCAGGAGAGACACCTCCCGGGGAAAGCGTGCAAACTGGCGGGCGCCAGGCGGCTGGGCAGGAAAGACCCCAGCGGTGCAGCGAGTGCTGGGGAGGTGTGGGTCTCACCCTGGGCCCATGTCACTGTGTCATCTTGATCCAGGACT